TATATATATACACACACACACACACACATATATATATATATATATACACACATATACATATATACCATATCATACATTAAAACAGGGATACAAAAATCCCCGTAGCCAATACTCCTTAAAAATGACAGCTGCGTCCTAACTTTGGAGTTTTTCTCTAGTCTATTCTTTCAATGGAGCTGGAAAAGTATCAGTAGTTCTACTTGTACCAAGTATGGTACCTGGTAGCTGTGCATCCCTACAGGGAAATTAAAGTAGCAGGAGCTTCCCATATGCTATCAGGTTTACCTTGAATATAATTGTGTATATGATTCTACGCTGTATACAGAGAGAGAGGTAAGGGATTCGCAGATACCGCTTTTCGATATGAAGCACCGATATTTTTTTCTTCGGTACTCACCAATACCGGATACCAATACCGGCACCCGTGGGCCTGGATTATCAGGAAGCCGGGGTTCTTTCGAAAGAACATTGGCTTTACTTCCCGCACGACACTGCGAGGCAGCCTGGCTTCCTGAACAATCAGGAAGCCAGGGGGTGGGTCATGATGTGCCACACGGCTTCTTGATTGGTCAGGAAGCAAGAATGCCTAGCGACAAGTGAAGCCAGCTTCCTAGCCAATCAGGAAGCCGGACGGCAAATCATGGCCGGCCTCCAGGCTTCCTGATGAGCTAGGATACCGGCTTCACTTGTTGCTAGGCAGGGTGGCTTCCTGACCAATCGGGAAGCCTGGAGGCCGGTCATGACATGCCGCCCGGCTTCCTGATTGGCTAGGAAGCCGGCTTCACTTTTTGCTAGGCAGCCGGGCTTCCTGACCAATCAGGAAACTGGGAGGCGGGTCATGACCTGCCGCCTGGCTTCATGATTGATCAGGAAGCCAGGCTGCCTAGCAACAAGCAGCCGTCTGGCTTCCTGATTGGCCGGGAAGCCGACTCCATGCTCCCTTACCAACACGAGTATCAGTGCATCCCTAATTTTATATATATATATCTCCAGGAGGCTACTGCAAGGTAATGAATCATAGGAATAAAAAGAAGGTAAAGTTGCTTTTTCTTTAAAAGAGGCCTGATGGAAAGGATCAATATAAACACGCGTTTAGTTTTGGAGTTTGGATAACTTATTTCCAGAAATCTGCTACTTTTGATCAGCAATTAAAGTAGAAAACATAAAAACATACCCATTGCAGCAAAGCTCCTAGTTTGTTATGTGGTTATGGAATGGACCTACGTTTCATTATAGGTGCATAAAGAGTTATCAGTGAAGCATTTGTCACACAGTCATGACTGTCAATAATAGAAGGGGGAAAACACTTCCTTTAAATTGACTGGCAAAACTAATCTCACAAGGAACACAGCCAGACAGTGTTTAGCATTTAGCTAGCACCAGACTATAATTTGAACCTCCACAGCAGCAATTATGTTTCCTGGACATTGTGTACATTGTGGTACTAACAATACAGCCGGTAAACAAGTCCTTACAAAAATTCACTTTATGTAATGTGATTTTTAATGGCCACACACCTTTGGTTTTGAGGCACAAAAACAAAAAAGTAAATAGAAATGCTCAACTGACTCCCTGTTTTTATGGTATTGTTTTTTTTGAAATAAAGCTAATAGAGAATATAAGCAACTGTTGGTAGAACAGGTAAATATAAAGAGCATTTGCTTTTTGTGGAGTGCAAACAGGAACTGGACACAATAGAGCCGTTTACCGGGACATGAATTACTGTATGCACCGGATCAATCGCCGTGTTTATGTATTCATAGTTTCCTTACCACAGTTCACAACTAAGGCAAATTACAACCTTGTGAGGGAAAAGAAAAATTTGCTTAAGTGAAATTTCCAGTCTTTGTTATAAAAACTAATTAGGCAACAAGCTCTTACAAAAAAACCTACTAGATGAATAGAAAGAAATGCAATTAATTATACTTTGGATCCATACGCTTCATCACAATACCTTATACTCATTTTTCAAGTAACGAGCATGGTTTATTAGCAAGAATAATCATCATGTAAACAACAGTACAAGATGCACTGGATACTGGTATTGTGCATTAACCGCTGCTGAATCCTTTATCAAGCTGAAAATTTACATTCAACTGCTTGAAAAAGGTTGTTTGAAAAACAGTTAAACATACTTCATGTACGTACCCATGAGGACCCAGAACACAGGCTAGACAGAAGAAGATGATTTTAAGGTTTGGGGGTTACATGTGTTGCATCATGAGGAGAATGTGTAGCACCAGAAAAAAATCCTATATCTGTGAGTTACAGTATCAGAGAGGAAGTGATACATATATCTTGCAATGAAATTGGGTTCCCTACTGAGCAGTATTTAGAAATGCAATGGAGGGCATGTATCACAACTGGGGCAGACAGAATCTGGAACAGTTTTCCATAGTAACCAATCAGCTTTTATCTTCAGTTTGTTCAGTTAAGCTTTGAAAACTAAATAAAGAAGCTGACTGGTTGCCATGGGCAATAGCTCCAGTTTTGATTGGATTGGATATTGAATGGTGATATGCAACAGAGAGAGATGGAAATTGGGTTTGCACGTTTAAAAAAAATGGAGTCTTGCTGTCATACTTAAAGCTAAAATATGCAAAGCTAATCTGTTGAGAGGAGGACTTAAGAGTAGCGTATTGTGTAAGTGTAACTGCCTTTTCAGGCAATGATTACAATACGAAAGTAATAATAATAAATACAAGTAGCCATATTTTTAACAAATAACATATTCAATATTTACCAAATGCAGTACAGCCACTTGACTGAATGTCATGCTGCAAAATGTCATTAACATTTTCTTACGTATATCAAAAATTGTAGCGGTGAACCCTGCACAAGGTAACTTGAATAAATGCCTAGGTGCACAACATAAGTGGATCCGAAAAGTGAGGCACACGCAGAAAAGTAGTAGCCAGGACTTGCCAAACCAGCTTATTTAGTGAGTGCAACATAAACCTCTTTAAGGTTCAAAACATTGAACAAATCTTGGCTGCTCCTCAAGTCTTCCTTGATTATATACAGGTGAAACTCGAATAATTAGAATATCGTGCAAAATAATTGCAGTAAGTGCTGCAAAAGGGGCCCAAACCAAGTACAAAGAAAGGCAAAAGAAAACAAAGAAAACAAAATAAAAGAAAGGAAAGAAAAAGAAAGTGGTGGCAGTGAAGTAAAACCGTTAATGCTTCAGAGGAAAACATACTTGAATATTAAGTCAGGGTCTTTCAAGAAGGGATAACATGTTTTAAGTTCATAATGGGTCACCAATTAAAGCCAGCAACCATGTATAGCTAAAAGCACAGTGATAGAAGATATCGTGAGATGAGACATACATCACACACCCATGACTCCTTATCATTTGTGATAGGTCAAGAAACTTTTTTTTATTGAATGTGATTGGTTAAGAATAGATGGTAACAATCCTGTAAAAGGTATATAAAAAGAAACAATGCCCAAATCTAAAGATAATCATATTCCAGAACTAAAATAGGGTGCAGCACATCCCTAAAAAAATATCAATGCTCAGTATGGTATTGACCATAGGGCTCCTCGGCTGTCCAAATTACTCAGCCAAGTGTGTTTTTTTCTTACATCTGTATCTCATTCATTAAGTGAATATCCTATTGTGTTGTGTCTAAATCTATTTTTCTTTACACCCCTTATCCCCATACATAATGTTGCCACGACACTCACCTTCAATAGAAAAAGTTCCCATTTTGGATTCTAGAAAGTCAAAGAGAGTGCTAGGACGAGAAGGTCTAGCACTTGTCAGTTCATCATTCTCTTCTATCCGTGTTCTCCCTCGACCTTTACCTTTACCTGTGCATGAAATGGGAACAAAGACAGGTTATTTGTCTTTTCAAACTGCAACTTTGCTGCTACTTCATTTTTCTGCACAGTCCTCACTAGAGTTTCTTGAAGATCACTTGGGAGACTCCACTATCTCCCGCTTCTATTTCCTATGTTTGCATTTTATGAATTATAAGTTATATTTTTAAGCCAGGGAATCAAAACCATAGTGACATAACAATACTTTGGCAGATCTTGCTGATTAATTGATTCATTGCACACACATACATACACAGGTGTAAAAGATAGATAAATATCCATATTAATGGAGTTTACTGTATTTGTACTGGGGAGGGTTGATTTTATGAGTAAAACTTGTCATAGTGTGCTTCTACTAAATATACTGCAGTTTTTCTTTAACGTACATTATATCAGCAACTCATGAAAACCTGAAATAAGAGGATTATGGAGGCTGCAATATCTGAGCTTTCCTCTTGAAAATGCCATTTGTCTGTTATATGAATTCAATTACTTTAATAATTTGAGGCAATTACTTAAAACAAATATGCAGATCTGTAGTTCTGATTTCACTAACTTTCTAACTTGCATACAGCCCAAAAAAAGTTGGGAGGCTGTGTAAAATCTACATAAACACAGAATGCAATGATTTGTAAATCTAATAAACCCATATTTTATTTACAATAGCAGATAGAAAACATATCCAATGTTTAAGAAAATTTACCATTTTAGGAAAAAAAATAAGGTAATTTTGAAATTGATGGCAGCAACACATCACCAAAAGGTTGGGAGGGGGAGCGGGAAGGGAGCGGGCAACACAAAGCTGGCAAAAATGCAAGTTAAAGCTCTATATTACAAAGAGGAATCCATATCTGAACATGATCCAGAAACACCATCGTCTGCTCTGGGCCAAAGCTCATTCAACATGGTCTGTAACAAAGTAGAAAACTGTTCTGTGGTCAGACAAATCGAAATTTGACGTTCTTTTTGGCAACCATGGGCCCACCGGACTAAAAAGAGGGAACTTTTGGTTTTTGTATTAGCGCTCAGTTCAAAAACTGCATCTCTGATGGTAGGGGGTGCATTAGTGTGTATGGAATGGGCAGCCTGCACATCTAGAAAGGAACCATCAATGCTGAAAGATATATCCAGGTTTTAGAGCAGCAGATGCTCCCATCCAGTCAACGTCTTTGTCAGGGAAGGCCTTGTATATTTCAGCAGGACAATGCTAAACCGCATACAGCATCTATGACAACAGCATGACTTCATAGTAAAAGAGTCTGTGTGTTTAAGTGTTTAACTGGCCTGCCTGCAGTCCAGACCTTCCATCAATTGAAAATATTTGCAGCACCTTGAAATTACAAATACAACAAAGTCGACCCAGGACTGTTGAGCAGTTACAATACTATATTAGGCAAGAATGGGGCAACATTCCTCTCCCAAAACTCCAGCAACTGGTCTCCTCAGTTCCCAGATATTTAAAGAATTAAAAGAAGAGGAAATGCTACACTGTGGTAAACGTGGCCCTGTCCCAACTTTGAGACATGTTGCTGCCATCAATTTCAAAATGACCTTATTTGTTTTCTAAAAATGGCATTTTCTCAGTTGAAGCATTTTATATATTTTTTTTCTTCTTTTTATTGTGAACAAAATATGGGTTTATGAGATTTGCAAATCATTGCATTCTGTTTTAATCTAGATTTCACACAGTGTCCCAACTTTTTGGGGGATTAAGGATGTATTAGCTTCAGATCAGTGGCCCAGAAAGTACTGAAGCCAGGGACAGTTACCCAGTACACATCTCACACAGCTGAATATTGAATTATTGTAAATATTTAATATTCCTATATAATGTGTGCAAAGCCATGCTCCCTTTCCAGTTCCTTACTGGTCTTTTAGAATTATAGGTTGCCTTATTGAGCAATAGGAAGGCAGGAAGAGAAGGGACAACACCGAATACATAGAAGACAAGTTACATGTAAAGCTGGCCATAAACTGATTGAATTTCAATCAGTGTGTGGCCCTGTCAGGACCCCAATCAGCTGCAGTCAATGTTCTGGGATTTTAACAGCGACACACTCGCTGCAGTCAAAACACAATAGACTGGCGGGGGCATTTCCCCATCCACACAGTTAGCATGGATGGGGGATATAAAAGTATTTTCTTGTTTAGACCTGCTGAAAAATATTGCAGGTGTATGGACAGCCATACTCTTAACTTCACCTGTCTATAGCTTTGGCTCTATTGTTTGTTTAGACATACACATTTCACCTAAGGCAACGTCTGCTTATGCCTCAGTTAGGATTGCACAGGTTTTTGACAAGCATACTTTAAACTTCCATGATCTGTACACCTGTTCTATAACGGGACGATTTCAGTAGGAGCGAGCTACAAGTGAAAGAAGACCCCTTTTTGTTGACTGACTGCTATTGGAACAGCATTTCTGGTTATATTTGGTGCATGGCTTTTGACATTTTTCATCATGGATATACATATTATGGCAGAGATTTGTTTCAACACCAGAGAGATTCCCTATAAAGACGCACAGTAAAAACGGATTCAAATCAAGCCTTTAACCACTTGCCGTCCGCCCGTAGTAAAAAAACGGACGGACGGCACTGCAGCATACTTGCAAAAAACAGCCTACCTGCTCAGGGGTTGAGTTTTTCATGGAACCATAGCTGCACCGAGGAGCTCTGGGAAATGTTTTTGGCAGGGCTATTTTTAGTGCTGTCCTATGCACACATGAATGTTGTGTTTCAGGACGATCCATGTGTAAGAAATGCCTACCCCATAGTATCTATCCATGTTATACACCAGGTGATAATACCTCGTGTTGGGAGCACTTGAACAGGATTAGGCTTGCTGCCAGCTAAAAGGAAGTTTAGAGCCGCCTCCATATTGTTGCTGTAGTCCATAAGTGCTTGTCTGGCTGCCTCTTTGCTAAAGCCCATCTCTGTGATGTGCCTCAGTGCCTTTTCATCAACCTGTAATAGAATAAAGTCACAAAGAATGTAATAACCAGCAACATACAATTTTATATTCCAGTGCAAGATTGTCACTAAGGCTTTAATCATATTTACCTAGATTATTTTGCAAAGCATTCTAAACCTTTATTTTCACAAAAATGCCTATTGCAATATCAGATCCCCAGTAAACAATACCATTTATACAAGTGTGATGGTGCTCTGATAAAACATAAATAATATAAAGTACACAGACAAATAGAAGTTTAAATAAAACATAATTTGCAGTGATATAAAGATGTGGAAATAGAGCTGCTGTAGGGACACAAAAGAGATAAACTGCCTCAAATGAATCATAACCGGACTTAAAAAAGGAGAGATTTACTGTTGTTTCCACAAATTTGCACATTAAAGCTGAAGCATAATATTGATCTTTTAGTTTTCTTTACTGTATTTTTTTGCTTCCTGAAAGGCCACTTATTTAGTTGCTTAGGACTAGAGCAATTTTCAGATGTAATTAGATTATTGAGTGACAAATCATATGCAAAGTCTTAAAAGGCTTCTGGGATGAAATGTACTCAGAATGTGGCTTAGTATCATCCGAACAGAACATCTATTATAGAGATACACATGGAGTGTTGCATGATATTTTATTAGCATGTCCAATCGAAACATCATCATCGCTGCCACACACTGCTGACAAGGCAACCGCAGCTTTAAACTAAATGTATTTTTGTTCCCCTAGGCATCGATGGATCAAATAATTTGCAATTCACGCTACACATTACTACATATTGCTCACATTCGAAGTATCACAACATGACTGAATAACATATACAGATCAAGAGATAATGAACAGGACTTTGGTATATACTTTATAGGTCACCATGAAACTAGCAAAATATGCAAAAGTGACCTTAGTTTTATTTATTTTTTTTAAATAATTTTTTTATTGAAGTTTTCAAGTAGATAAAGCACAACATGTACTGACAACAGAATAAGTGCAACCGGTAAACAAATGAAAGAAATCCCCCCCTACCACTCAGAACAAGATTTAGTAAGGCACGCTGGAACCAGATGCAACAAAAATAAAGGTAAATGTAAAGGGACAGTAAAGATAACTGGATAATACCCCAATAAGCCCTGGTGTACCAATAGGGTGAAGAGCAGGTGCAACCTTAGTTGTATTTTTATTTTATCTAAGTAGAAATTGTTTTACGCATTTAAATATATAGTTAACAAATGGGAGATTATTAAAGGTTTTATGAACTAGCCATATTTTTGCTTGTAAATAGGTGGTTCTCAAAGTACAATGGGTCACAGACATAAATAAATAATTTGTGTGGCTCTAAAATTTGACATCAAATGGGGAAATACCCCCTGTTCTGATGACAACTAGACATCTTTTGTTTTAAAGGGCAATTACAGACAACACATGAAAGCAATATATTAGACAGCAATGCTATTCAGCAAACATTGTAGCTGTACTAAAATCTAAACGTTCATTTTTAATCTGTGATTTCTGTAATTTACTAGTGTTGCACCTCAAAGGGTCGCTGGAAGTGTACTTCCTGACACCAGTGTTGTGTATTTTTCTATTTTTCCTATCCATACCTTCCTGTATCACATATCATATTTAAAATTCAGAGGCAAGTTTAATCTGGTTAGTGATTGTGAGAAACTCCTAATACTAATTTTTGATTGTTTCTGTATGTGACAAATAGCATGGAGCCTGCAAAGGGAGTTAAAAAAAAAGGTTCCTGCAGAACAAGAAGCAGATCCCAACAAGGGACTGGGTTGTCAGGTGCAGTAAAGAATGCTCTAGATAAAAATCTGAAGTACCGATCATATAGGATGTGATTGGACTATATATTTTAAGGTACAATATTGAGTTTTAACTGTAGTGTACTTTTTAGAAGACAATACCATTTTGAACAGTATTTGATAAATAGCACTTTGGATCCTTTCAAAAAGCCTCAGCAATACATATACGTTTATTTACACAGATGGCACTCAAAAGTAAGCTGCATAGAGTGATATGCTTTAAACTGGTTGACTTTCAACACAGATAATAAAAGTTAACTAGCTATATACTTTTTCAGATTTGTTTTCTCCCTATCCTAACTATAAACTATGAAAACTAAGCAGATACCCTGAGGAGCCTATAAATGAATATTGCATAACTTTGTTGCTTATAGAAAATCATTATAACCCAATTCCAGCTTGGGCCAAAAAAAAAGGATCCCCCAGCAGCTTTAAAATAAAGCAGCTCCAGCTAATATACTCACCCTATATCCAGTGCTGTCCCCTACAGACTCAACTAGTAACAAATCCAGTGTTGGCCATCTCCAGGTTGATTGACACCCAGTGACATTCAACCCACTTCTTGTAAACCTCGGGCGTCAAGGCCTCACACCCCCGCCCTGGCCACATAGGAGAATGCTGTAGAAAGCAATGCCATGTCATTACATCGTCCCACAGCTGGAGGAAGAGGGTGAAGAGCAACTGAGATGTCACCAGACCAGGCAAGAAAGCCTGGAGTTGGTCATTACTTTACTGTACTGGGAAATGAAACAAGGAATCTGATAGATGACTGTAGGCAATGCCATGTTTACATACTGTAGGATTTGGATCCATGGTCTCCAAAAACAGTTTTTGTATATAATTCCCAGATAATAATAATATGGAAAATGTGAAGAGGATAAGATTTCTTTCCATGAGTATGACATTAAGCTTAATGAAGAGAAGCAAGTATTCTCAAAAGCTTTCACCAAATATATTCAGTTAGGCAACAAAAAATATTGCCTCTACAGTCACTTTCCTTTTCCTGTAACATGAGCGTGTTCAGTGTCCTCAGACCTTGCTCTGGAAATGCTAAAAAATGAGAGAAATTGCTAAAAAATTTAAGATCCAGTACATTCAGTAACAAGACACAAAATGCTTTGTGGTTACTTTTAAAAGTTCCACAATGCAAGTTTTTTTACTTCGTAGTGAGTAAGGGATAAAAACCATACAGCCACTAATGCAATTCAGCCTATCCTGGCACTTATCGTAGTATGGATGGATCTCCTTAGCCTTATATACCTACCCAATACTTTTTTAAGACCAAGTACAAGCACTTTCGCTGACGGAAACTGCGGTTTGAAAATCAAAAGGTCCGTTATCAGCCTTAAGGATTGGGGCATTTTCACAAGTACTCATGCAAATGTCTGGTATCGGTATCAGGATATCCCTAGCAAGGATAATAGTAAAACTTGAACCTCATCACAACAGAGGCAGTTCAAGATATCTTAGAACAGATATCTTTTTTTAAATATTTAGTCTTTATTATTTTTACAAAAAGCCATAAACAACATATCATTTTAACATACAGTGTGTTACATACTTATAATTATAATCAAATTTCGAGTACAGTTTAATGATTTTTAAAAAACAAAACAGACAGAAAAAAAAAAAAAACATACAAAAAATTTACACTACATACCATATAAGGGGATTCCGGCACATAATATACTGAAAGTGTTAAATACAATCAAAAGACAAAAAACACAACATTAAATGTGGGGGTCAATGTCCCACCTACAATTAAGACCTAGGGGCTGTCTGATCTTAAAAATCCAAAATGCCTCATGCGGAAGTGGAAAAAAAATAGCATAGATCTCCCCCATGTACAGAACCATAAACACGCTCAATACCATGAAAAGAAAAAATAATCTATATTGCCCCTATGCATCGTCCAAACATGTTTGACTGAATGACTGAAATGAATCAGTGGCTATATGGTTGTTATGAAGAAATAAATTTGCATCATGAAACTTTGAAAAGTGCTGGCATTTTGTGTCTTGTTACTGTTTTGCACCGGAGATGAAGTGCTGTTGTGCCCTGCCTGCAGGTGGCACTGATTCATCTCTGAATTCACAGAGAGCTGATCATGTGACTTGAACTGTATCCTTTAAACTCAGCAGAGCCTACATATGAAAAAAAGATGAAAAAGTTCTATAAAAAGGAAACATGGGTCATTGTGAACAATATTGTACACTCAGCAAGAGATAGTGATAGCAAATGATCTGCGCTTTCAAGTCTTCCTTCAAACGAGATGCAATTAAACACTTTCCACTACTATATGCCGTTGGCTCAAGCAAACTGTTTGGAACACACCTTTTAATACCAAAGGTGGCTATACACGCGTCAATTTTCTTTGTTCCAACCGCGGGCTCAATTTAAGAAATTTACATGATTCCAACGTTAACACAAAAAGCCTGTCAAATCGAGGAACTGCCGTTGTTAGCATTGTATTTTGACAGGTGCCGCCGGCACTTGTTAGCATACCCGATCAGAGCGGGCAGCTCCGTGGCCATCTCTGATCGCACAAATATTTTATATCCGGCTTCTTTGATCAGCTGATCGAGGAATGCTGGCAGAAAGGGAGCCGACAGCCCCACCCTGGCAAATTTTGGCCAGTACATTAAAGACCGGCTGAAATACGGCAAGTGTACAGGCACCTTTAGACAACACCCAGAGCAGCAACATAGTGTAGTAGTTAGAATAACATTGTCTATCAATTAGCAGATTTTCAACCCTCCATGGGTCAGAAATGCCATTTTTTAAGCTTTGAACTGACAGAATGATTCGGCACCAACTACATTTCCCACATGTAGCTCATTCTCCAAAATGTTGAAGATTTTTTAATTATTACATCGATTTAGGACTGTTATATTTTTTAATTATTACACAGATTTAGGACTGTTATATTTATGGGATTAAAGGCAGCAGGCTATGTGCTGATAAATGGAGTTAATTCTATTAATTTCAAATGCAAATTAAGATATAAATATGCAAATTCAAAGGCAAATATCTCAGAAGAAAAAGGGTATAAGCAAAGCATAGCAATACGTTCTACAATTGGTGTGCAGCAGCAAAGAACTCTCTCTAGAAACTTGCAGTGGAGAAAATATGAAGAGTAACAAACACAGACCGTAAAGAGAACGAGATAAAAAAAAAAAGAGTGGGATCAGTGCTGCATTTGCATTGTGGAATAAGAGGAATCATCATAGCTAGGTATACAGAAAGAGTGGGGGGAAAGATATGGGATGTAACAGGACAAAAAATATAATGTGAAAGGAAGTGATTAAGGGAGAAGGGATAGGAGAAATGGAACAGATGAGGCAAAACAAGAGGTACAAATGAAGGGAAATGGAGATGGTAAGGACAAATTAGAAAAGGAAAAGTAGGTGGTGATAGAAATAGATAAAGAAAAAGAAAGCAGGGAGAGAAACACAGGTAAAGAGACAACAGAGACGAAAGAAAGAGTGTAAAAGAGTAGGGAGTAATGAAAGATATGGAAATAGAAATAAAGACTGAGTGGGAAGAGAGAGAGAGATTGTGTGGGGGGAGAAAACAGAAGTGACAGAGGGAAAAAAGTATTTGCTTTTGTTATGTAATGCTTTGTTTCGCAGTTAAACCTTACCAGCTCACGATACACGCCTTCTGATCTGCCTTCACTTCTGATTATCTTCTCTTTCTGGAACACTTCCCTGTTACGACTCCCCCCAGAACCTGTATTGAGATTGCTTCCAGCAATACCACCTCCTCCAAACGTCTTGGTCTGGAGATAAGAAATTCTGTGTTAGACTCCTTTCTAAACTCATCCTAAAGATAAAGCCATTATGCAAGAGGCAACAAATCCACAGGAGCTTCATTTTTTATTACTGAGCTGTACCTACTGATAAATAAAATGTTAATTTCCATAAAACTGAACAATATCCTGCTCATTGGCTTCCTCGTTCTTGTCAACGTTTCAAGTCGTAAAAATAAAGGTATATAATGTTCATGTTTATGTGCTACTTTGAACTGAATCATAACAATAAAGGCAAATGGAAAACGATATAGCGGGGAATAAAATAACACGAGCATTAAACTGGGCAAGTTCCAGGAATTTTACATCGAGTCCAAGTTTCTGCAGTTTCCTGTGGAGGATAAAAGTCCGCAGTGTGCAAAAACCCCAGAAAATGTGATCATTTTGTCAATCAGCTTCCAGCAAGCTAATCAGGATACTGATGCACATATTATTAAGGCTTATTTATAGAAAACAAGATGAGGCTTTGGCATCCATATTTTCCAAGACTGCCAATAAAGCAACGTAAACAAACAGGCCCTTGTTTATCAAGCAGTGCTCTCTGTGGGGCTGCTGACTCAGAACAATCCTTAAACTATCATATAATCAGCACAGTCTATGGGGTTTAATAAGACGTAAATACTCTGCAAACATTAGGTTGTGGGCTTTAATACATTGCAATCACTTTTGTGCCTGAAATATGTTAAACAATTATCTCTATTTAAAGGAAAACTACAAATTAACCCTTGCAGTGGGACTACCCCCACACTGCATGGGTTAAGTGCTCATTTTAGTCTAGGGTTTAAAATAATGATACGCTCACCCAAAACCTTAATCCTGCGGCGGTGACCTCTCACCTTTGACCCGCTCCGCTACGGCTGTGGTATGAACCTCGGCATTCTCATGTTGCAAGTGCAAGTCAATGGACTTGAATTTAAGGTGTGGACGTCAGCAGGGCTTAGACCCCTGGAGTCCGGTGGAGAAGAGGCTGTGGGAATCGGTCTAACAGCCAGGCAGGATGGAGGATCAAATGAGTATTTATTTTTAAATTTTAGACCCTAGACCAAAATCAGCACTTAAAGGAGAACTATGAGGTGAGTGCTTTTCACTCACCTCATAGTTCTAGCCGACCTGTGACAATGAGACTGTCACAGGTCGGCTCAGTAGATCGGGAGGTGAGCGAACACATACCGGCGTTCGCTCACCTCTCGATCCTGTCACGGCTCTCTGCTGTGACAGGGGAGGGGCTGGATTCCCCCCCCTCCGCCAGCGCTGACTGGCAGAACGGACGGGGGAGGGTACAGCTGGCTCTGCCTCTGGATAGGCAGAGCCTGCTGTCAGTCACGCAGCTGGGTGGATCCAGACATAATTGTCGGGATCCGCTTCAGCTGCAGCGTCTCAGTATACCGCGAGCAGCAGCTCGCGGTATACTGCAGCGTCTCAGTATACTGCGAGCTACAGCTCGCGGTATACTGAGCCTAGGGTGACGGGAGGACGCTAGTTTGTGTCCTCCCGTTACCCTGAGAACTATGGGGAAAAGCCTTAACACCATAGTGTCCTTTAACTCTCGCAGCGTGGGGGTAGCCCCATAGCAAGGGTTAATTTGTAATTTGCCCAGCGTTCTGAACAACTGTCAACATTCAGGAACCTAAAAAAAAAGCATTTCTTGGACAGTTTACTAAACTTGCAAGTTACAAGTCTAAGGTTTTATTAATGGTCTATGGTGTTAGTGGTATATTTACAGACCATCACTAGTTTATTATTAAATATAGCACAAATATTTTGAGAACAAATGGAATGTGGAGGCTAGGTTCACACTGTTCCACGTGTGCATTCTTCCACTTACTAACGTGCATTGCGTTTAGACAGCTCATTCAATGGGCTGCCTGTCGCTCTAAAGAAAGCGGATGTACTATTTTGTTTAACGCAGTACACCACAATGCATGGTAGTGTATTACTGTGCATTGTGATAGGCTGCATGTCCATTAGAAAGGTGCATTGGGGTGCCATTGAGGAGGAATGGCACTGAAGCGGACCAAGCACACTTGTTTTCACTTTGCACTAAGATGCCTGTTACGGTATCGCAACAAGTGTGAACCTATAGAAACTTTCAAGCCAGCAGCTTCAGGAAATGTGAAATAAGTTTCAATTTAAGTGTCAAGAAAACACAGGTGCTAGGACTAACTTTTCTTGAAATAAAGCAAAGGTCAGTGTGAGAAGCAGCACAATCCAGGACAGCCAACTGAAAATCATCTTTGCTTAGCCTGTCTAATCTGTCCTCCAGAAAGCTATGATCAAATAGATGTGCCAAATACAGTCATGGGCAAAAATATTGGCACCCCCTGCACTTCTGTCAGAAAATGCACCACTTTGTGCAGAAAATTGTAGCAATTACAAATGTTTAGGCATTCTCATGTTTATTTATTTTGCTTGTATTGGTATGACACAACAAAGTGGAGGGGAAAAAAAGCCAAATCTGACACATTCCACGTAAAACTCCAAAAATGGACTAGACCAAATTATTGGCAGCTTCAATTAATATTTGCACAGCCCTTGGAAAAATTAACTGAAATCAATCGCTTCCTGTAACCATCAATGAGGTTCTTACACCTCTCTACAGGAGTTTTGGACCACTCTTCTTTCGCCAACTGCTCCAGGTCTCTCAGATTGGAAGAGATCCTTTTGCCAACTGCTGTTTTGAGTTCTCTCCACAGCTGCTCTATGGGATTTGGATCTGAACTCATTGCTGGCCAGTCCAGTACTCTCCAGCGCTTTGTCTGAAACCATTTCTGGGTGCTTTTTGACGTGTGCTTTGGGTCATTTTCCTGATGTAAGACCCATGACATCTAAAGGAGACCAAACTTTCTGACACTGGGCCCTACATTGCACCCCAGAATTATTTGGTAGTCTTCAGATTTCATAATGCCATGCACACAGTCAAGACATCCAGTGGACAGGGGCACAGGAACATTAAGATCTCTGGAGATGGGCTTGTTAACCTGAAATTGTCCATGTTTTTCCACAAAAACTTGGAATGTAAATATATTTCTTGCAATTTAGAGAAGGTGCCAACAATGTTGTCCAGTCCATTTTTGGAGTTTTGCAGGGAATGTGTCAGATTTGGCTTCTTTTTTTTCTCCACTTTTTTGTATCATACCAATACAAACAAAAGAAATAAACATGAGAATGCCTAAACATTTGTAATTGCAACAATTTTCTGCATTACCTGATAGAAATGCAGGGGTGCCAATATTTTTGGCAATGACTGTACATACCTAGAGCATACTTGGACATTTAGGGCCAATATGGGATAGACAGACACATCTAGAGGACAGATTTAGGTCAGGTCAATTACTTGCACTATGCAGTAAAAATGGTATAGCACCTCACGGGTGTTGTGTGTATGCCCCATATTGGCACTATATGGCCATTAAAGCATGCTATAAGCAACTAAGTGTTTGGCACTTGGCAGTAGGGAATGGCTAGAAAGGCATCACTTTGACATAGCTGGCCACCTTGAACATGTATTGCAATATATTTAAACCAAGAATCCCTTTTTGTGTGCAAAAGGTTTCTAGAAATACTGTATGTAAGGGTGTAAATGTGTGCAGAGGGTTCATTCACAATTTACAGTGTTAACATGTCATCACGCCCCTTTTGCACCTTGTGTTACACTGTATATATCTATCTCAAGTAAAAAAATAATAATAAATAATTGACAGTTTTAAAACAGGATCTATCTCTCTTTGTGTTTTATTTTTGTACAGTAAAAATAAACAGAGTTGGTCAGATATCTCCCCAAAGAATACTAGTGGATTCACATCTGCTCGTCCCTGTAGCACCAGGAGTCAGTGCTGACGCTTTAGTGATTCACAATTCTTGATGAAAAAAGGAAAGGATAGTTTAGAAAAGGAGTGTTTTCAACTATCAGAAGTACTCGTCAGCCCCTAACATAGCCCTAAATGGCCCAGTCCTTGCTTGAGTGTTGTAATGGCCATCCAATAGAGATGAATTACAGCCAACTAACCCACAGAAATTACATTTCATTTTTAAAGCCTGGTTAAAAAAACATTAAAGTAGAGTTAAAAAAAGTCTTAAACCTCTTTGCTTTTTGCTACTTCAGCAATAGCAGCTGTCCTTTGTTTCTCAAACTCATCATTCTCCCCCACAGTTTTGGCAACATTGGAAGCTTGCAGCGTTTTGCGGCTATCAAGTTCTTTGCTATCCACTATAGTAGCAGACACACGATGCTGAAACAAGACATGTAAATCAGAAGTCAGTAATTATGACCCATACACATACAGTTTATAGAAGATAATATGTCAGGTAACAGGCCCTGCCTGCTAGATATATATCACACAGAAAGCATTAAAGAGAAAAACTGCTGATATTCTGTAGAAAGTTAAAACATGCAGATAGGATGCAGATTGGATGGAGAATAGCTTGCCATTGTGTGGCATACACATCTAAAAGTAAATCACAAGAAAAAAACAGCTTCCCTGATCAAAAATGTCTGTACCACTATGCAAGTATAATGATATAAACAACAATACTCGTAAAATCTGTTTTTTGGAGTTTATTAAAGTAAACAGAATTCAGTAATTCTGAGACAATTGGGTCATACTGCTACCTATAGGAGGAATAGGGCATGGGCAAACAAAAAAAAAGCTGATGGCCAGCCAGGTATAACCACTCACAGGATGCTTCCATTTTGTAGATAAACAGTAATAGGAGTATATCATAAACACAGAGGGTTGTCCCTTAATGAACCCCAATAAACAGATTTTACGTTAAACTCCTGCTTTTCAAAGTGCTGCCCTAAAGCAACACACCACAAAATGTAAATGGGCCTTTAATGATGTATTATCCAATACAAAGTTGCATTAATTTTGTCTTTTATCTGCCATTGATTCAGCTTTAAAACCAGTCAGCAATGGCAGCTCCCATAGTTCTGTCCTAATAGGTTCACTTTACACAAAGTAAAAAGCAGAAGCACATGACAGGTCATGGCAAGAGGATTGCAAAAAATCCAGTATTTACTCTATCAGCTCTGACATTTCATGGTGCGCAGCCCACCTTTCTTACGATGTAAAAAGCCACGTAAAAGTGAATAAATTCATCCTGCCAACCTAAAAACAAATATTATAAATAGCTGTCACAGCATGTTCAGGCTGACTTTGTGACTGGACAATACAACCAAAAAGTTAAAGCGGAGAATGAGGTGTAAAATTAGCCAAAACATAAGATACAAAATGGTTAAAGATAAATTATACAAAAAAAAATTTGGGAGTAACAATAATGGAGAAAACAAAATAATACCAATACATTAGGGATGTTCAGATACCAGCGCCTACACTTGGCATTTTCACGAGAACTACCAGGGTCGCAGAAGTTGCAACTGTGACAGGGCACTGGCATTCCACCACTGTCCTGAAATCATTAGACTGTATTGTTTTAGAATAACGGTCACATGACGCTAAACAAAAAAAGTACTTGGTCTGTAAAAAATGGTATCCCCAATATAAATATATAACAAATCATACATTAAAACAGGGATGCACAAATGCCAGGAGCTCCGTGTGCTCCTTACAAATGACAGCTGCCTCCTAACGTTTGAGTTTTTCTCTAGTCTAGTCTTGGAGGTGAAAAAGTATCTGTACATGTACTAAATACGGTACTTGGTATCTGAGCATCCCTACAATGCATGCAAAGATCTAGCAGACTTCATGATAACTAGAAAGCCAAGAGTTCATTATATGGCTGGATAAACACATACAAACAAGATCCATTGATGTCTATAACTTCAAACATATACAACATGTTCTGCTTGTCTGTCTGGTTTTGACTCATGACATTTTGACAAATGTGATTACTTGCTCCTTGCAATCTAGACATCCCCTGCACTTAATCTACGAGGACGTACCAAGACCCAAAAAGATGTGGTCAGAGTTTTTCAGGTCTTTCCTCTGTTAGGAACTGCAGAACTCAATACATTCAGTCTACAATCAGTGTATGAGCAACAGAGTGAGTATTTTATAATTGTAGCTGATTTACTGTTTGTGGTAAAGAGTAGTGATGGGCTTGGGCATGTTCGCAAGCGCCTCGTGCCGAGCCCGACAGGAAGCCTTCAGCGTGCAGGGCCAATCACAGGCACTGAGACATGTTCCCGGTCCGCAGCTGCAGAGATCGGGAAATGTCTCAGTGCCTTTGATTAACCCTGCGCGCTGATAGCTTCCAGGCGGGCTCGGCACGATGCGCTTGCGAACACGCCCGAGCCCATCACTAGTAAAGAGCAGTAACGTAAAATACATTTCCATACGTTGCAAGGTCATTCATCAGGAATGGCCTCCTAAAACAGTAGTTTGCAAGGCTAACGCCATCACATACCATGCGTGGCGGGGTGTTGCGTTTCAAAAATGCCAAAGGGACACTTTGTCAGTTGCCATGCATTGTAAGCCAACTTTAAATTAATGGGCTGCCTTAATGCAACACAGGGTCATGTGCATGAGGTAACATACCAAAGTTATCCCTTGGAATTCTCAATCATGCACATTGATACAAAAAAAACATTATAGAATGTTTTTACTTTATCTGCACATGACTGGATATGTTTAAGCAGCTTTGCCTTAGTAATTGATCTATGTAAATGTTCACCTTGTATAGTAAGAATTCTTCACTATTTTAGGAAATCAAACCCCACTGACTCTGTTGCAATTGCTTTACAAGTGGCAGGTAAAGAAAAAAGAAACTGAGCACAATATTACCTGCCCAAAAGGCACAAATGGTGGAGGTCCTCCCTCTGTTCCAATATTGCTTCGACTGTGCTTAGATAAGCTCTGTGTAAAAAAAAAAAAGAAAAAAAATTATATGGAATGACAAAATTAATTTAATGACAAATGGCTAGAAGGGGAATTAAGCTAATTAATTTAATGGAATATGTTAAACCTAGATCCCAAAACACCTTACAATACTAATGCTAATGTAAAACAAATCAAGATTAAAAGGATGTACTCTGGACAATGGTAATAAACTCTCTAAGCCTCCCTTTCCAACCCCATGTACTGATTTTAAACAATTTTCTTCTTACCTTCCTGCTCTGTAAAAAAATATTCCTGCTTTAAATATCATAAGATCTCCAGCAAATTCCTCACAGCTGTAGTTCAGGGGATGGCACTATCAATGGCTTTCTGTATGTGTGGGAACACCCTGCTTCTTATAAATCAATCTCTCTCTCAGTCCTTTTCTACCCTGCTCCAGTGTACAGTGTTCCATAGCTGCCTGTTGAGCTGGTCACCTACAGAACAAATGTTGGCCACTGATTCAGCTGAGGTTGCGTCTGTGGGTGCCGCTTGCGGGCACCACCTAGTTTGACAAAAGTCAATTTTTCAAGTGACTTATCAAAGGAGCTGGGTGGAAAAATATTATGTATCAAGGCACTGTTTGGGTACTTAGAAGCTGCAGGAGCAGCGGCTGCCAAATACAAAAGCCAACAGCTGTTTATCATGGATGGGGGAATATAATGATATTTCTAACAGTGTATGGCTAGCCTTAGCAAAAACATGACAGTATTTAATCTGGACTTTATTAATGTTACAGCTTGATTCAATAGCAATTGCAGTTAAAAATATTGGACTCCCGGTTACAATCCTTGCAGCTGCCCACACAGCCAGTTTAACAGAAGCCCTGTCCAGTCGAGGAACAGCAGTCTGGCTATTTACTTAACCTCCCCCTGCCCCCGCTGGTTAGATCTGTTACTGTGTTTACTTATGAAGGTACAGTGCTTGCTGCATTGAGATTTGTTTGATATCACAGCAAATGCTGAATATCTGACAGGGGAGTTTTCTCCTCCTCTATCAGCACATGCACAGCTATCCACCAAGTGAACTCCAAAAAACATGGCTGTGAGGACAGCTGCGTGAAATTTAACAGGCGAGTAGAGAACTCCCCTGTCAGATCTAAAGGATGCGCCTAAAAATAAAACAGACTGCACATACAGCAAGAGTTGTGCTTCCATATAACATCTCTAACCGATCTAACCAGTGGCTAAACAAAGAGTTAGCTCCTCTACTGGACAGGGCTCTGTGTAGCTGGCTGTGTGGGCACCTGCAAGAGTAGAGACAGGAGAGCTGAAAAATTGCCTCGTAATCTCAGCGGGATCATAGTATCGGATCACTAATTTTAAGTTTACTTGGAATGAATAGCTCCGCCACCCCTCTAGATGCGGAGGATATAAATTCAAAATACACTTAGATTGAGTAATCTGAGGGCCGGTGGTGATTGAGGAGAAGTAGTGCAACTATGGACTCCTGATACTAGTCTCTGTCTAGTGCAGGTATCACATCCACCCTGCCTACATTGATTTGCTGAAGGGTGGAGTTTTATCATTGAATCTATGAGTGGAGTCTTGATCATGGAGTCTATAGGTAAGGTGCTGAGTTCCTAGGTCTGAACACTTGCTGTGGCCATTTAAAGATGCACCTCTCTGCTGGATTTTGTTTTATATTATGTAGAATGCAAGAGGAGGTGCTGGAATGCACAAAGGTGGGTGGAAACATCTAAAACATCAAGGCCAACAGGAAAATAGGGGAAATAACCCGGCTGGAGTATGCAAGATAGAAAAGAAGCTGCGGCTGACTCAACCCACAAGGCTTAGTCTATACCTAAAATATCCCTTATGGTGGCTAACCCTTGAACGTTTAGATCTACTTCGGTTAAACAAGCAAGTAACTTACAGTATAATGCATAAATACAAAAATAGTCCTTTTTTTCTAGCAAAGTTAAGCTAAAGGTGATAATAACCAAACCCACAGAAACCAAACAGATTTCAGTTTATGGAAGACAGGGAAATGAAAGATAAAATGGTTGCTGTGGCTTTCCGTTCCTTTGACACTGCTAATTGTTTTAAGGCCAAAATCTATAGTATACTTCTATTTACTGTATGCATTGCATGGATATTACTGGTCATAAAAAATGTAAAACTGAGCAATTTGCCAAACAATATCACCAATGCTAAATAGTGGCAATCATTATTAAACATTTATAGGCATATCATATCTACAGGAAAGGTCACGGGCTTGGGCAGTTAGAGAAATTGTACAGATTCAAATGAATTCATGTGCTTCTAAGATGTAATTTGCAATAACTAAGTCCTCACTGTGAAGCATTTAAACTAATTGACAATTTCCCTATTTAAAACTCCGAGACTATGTATAATATTAAATGTTGCAATTTCCATGAATATTGTCATTTTGTCTAATCGCAGAAATGTATGCGTTATGCAACTAACATTTATCATTATCTTCCCAATAAAAGCCTCTCAGCCCACATCATTATGTGCAAGAGCAGATATAGCCAACGAGTTTACTACACACAGCTGCAAACGCAGTATACACTATTATGGAATACACTTCGCAGATTATTTCAGTATCCAGCCAATGTGACAAACCTATTTAGGGGAATTGAAGTGAGCAGCAACACAATAAATTGCAGATGGCAAAAGCCATATATTAAACAGTGCTGAAGTATTTTCAGTAATATAGATGCAATAGAAGAAAATCATATTGGAACCGTATTAGACAATAGAGAATGCATTTTGAGATTTGGGAAGATTTCTGATTTCCAATGGCTTTTTATTTCCGCCTAGCTACATCAGGATCCTTCTGTTCTACTAAGCTGTGTGACATGCATGCAAAAACCTGATTGAATAGAGTAATAAAATGGGCAAGAAGGAAGCAGAGGCTGTAGCGAGAGACTTCAAAGCCATTTCTTTTCAACAGCATTAAATGTTTATTTATCTAGCTGTGTAAGGAGACCCAATCTTGACATACGCATGCAGAGCAAACAACTAACCTCATTGCAAGGGCAGCATTTTACTGGTACCATAAAATAAATTGATATTTAAAATACATATGGTCCATGTGGGATAGAACTCTCTTTGATGTGCATAAGCAAATACATTATTTTGCCTGTAAAAATTCAAACCATGTAGACTGCACATATTTCTTCTTGTATATAAAATATGTAACATTTGTCTTCACTATAGCTCTACGGCTTATCATTTCTCCAGGGGTTACGCACATAAATTAGAAATTATCCACCCTTTCTATGACCCCTATTAACCGATACCTGTCCTGGGTTAAAAAGGTTTCTTCCCTTCCTAAGCTCTTCTTATGAATATCCAAGTTACTTGGATATAATGTACATCTAAGGACTTTAATACTCTCTGAGTCACTATCCTGTAACAAGATTGAAGATCAGGAGTTCTCACTTTACATGCAAGACTGTCCTGCAGCTTTAATCGATTTTCCAATGAATTGGCCAATCATCTGAGGGTAGCTGCATATCCAGTGGTTAATTAATTCAACTTTCTGTGTCCTATGACGTATGATCAAGAAACATGTGCGTGGAAGGGGAGTAGGTATTCCATACACCATAAAGTGTGGAATACTTACAGCGGCCACGAGCAGCAAAGCAGCAGTGTTTTAACACAGGCCCTTGGAAAGGTAAGCAGATTACTTCTTATTTTAGCAGGCATGTTACTGTATCAAAGTAACTCTATGCTAACAAGGTCACTTTAAATGTTTAAATGACTGGATTATAATGGAGCATTTTTTATTATCCTAACTTATACTTTAAGTCAGAGAGAATGCGTGCCAACTAGGCAACCAACAATTTCGTAAGGACGTCATCAGTGTCAGCATACATATCTCAGCACAGTTTCCTTTAATGGGTTTGAGAATTACCTAAAGAGACGCTGTCACCTTGCCTATTCAGGGCACCGCAGCAGTCTCTTTACACAGGGATGTCCCCCACAACATAGCATCACAGAACATCATAAAACATCTGTTTAAAATATCATAATTAAAACAAGAAATACGGTAAATCGAATGCAAAACCAATATAGCTCAACAAAAGTAAAGCTAACCCTTTGTTTGACTTTACTTCTCTTTTGTTGGTGGGAAAGGCACACAAGTCAGTTTCCACAATTAGAGTATATGTATGTCCTAGTAGAGCAGTGATCGTAACCATTGACACATCACAAGGTGGTAAGGTTAAACAGAAAGGAGATGGACCTTTGTGTAAAATGTCACCACATGTTTTAAATGGGCCAAACAGGCTAGCTCTCTTACAATAGTTAATAAAAATATATTATGGTATAACATATATATCAGTGTATCAGAAAGAGCACCATGCATGCATAGATGCATACCATGGATACTCTTGGCTTTTGTGGGCTACTAAAGTGCCCTGCCACAACTTTATGTTCAATTACTAGTACTGATTAGCAGAGGACAGTGCTGAGTCTTCAATTTTAAAAACACTGTCATGCAAACAAAATTTAAATGTTTGCTACAATATTTTAAATAATATAACAAATACAAATGAGGAGGCCCCTATACTATGTTACATAGCCTTCGGAGGCAATCACTGCAAAGTCAATTTGGTTAGCTCTTAACAAGACTTCTGCACCTGCCAACAGATTGTTGGCAGATTTAATCACTCTTCTTGAGTAAACTGTTTCAGCTGTGTCAGGTTTAAAGGGTGCCTTCTGGAGACTGCATGTTTCAGCTCTTTTTATAGATGTTCAATAGGATTCAGATCAGGGTACTTAGAAGGCTACTTCAGAAAAAAACAGAATGTTTAGTTTTTGGTTGCTTTTAGCTGTGTTTTGGGTCATTATCCTATTGAACAATGACCTGCAGCTGAGACAAAGCTTTCTGACACTGGGCAGTACATTTTACCCCAAAATCCCTTTATAGTCTTTATAGTCTTGAGATTTCATTCTGTCCTGCACAAATTCAAGGCACTCTGTGCCAGGTGCAGCAGAGCAGCCCAA